GCAGATCGCTCAGAAATCTGGGCTCTCCAAAAATGCAGAGGATCTCTTGCGTGTGGTGATGGTAGATCAGCCTAGTGCGGCTAGTTCAGAATCTCAGGTGATGGACAAACTGCATGCGTTCTTCATTACCTTAGAATACTTGAACATCTGTGAGTTCTCCGTGGCAGCCGGGCCCCTGAAATACTTGTCTGATCTGGAGGAGTGGCGCCATGAGAACCGTGGCCTGGCCTTGCTCTTGGCGGCTGATGCGTTGATCCGCAAGAAAGTTCATCGAGTGAGCTCTGATCAGCGCAAGACATTTGGCACGTTCTCTGCCGCCTTGCTTGAGGTCTTGACCAACCACAAACAGCTGTGGAATGACGCTCGATCAAGCGCAGAGTTGGACAAGTTCAAGCAGGTGATGCAGACGACGGCGCCATCTACACCGTCAAAGAAGCGCTCCAGATCTCGCTCGCAGTCAGCCCCAAAGGCTTCACCCAAAGCTCGAAAGAACAGGGCTCGTCGTGAACGCCAGAAGGCCTTGCTCAAGAAAGCTAAGGTTGGTCACGCCTCAACGCCACCTCCCAAGTCGGATCAGGCCAAGAAACCCGCTCGAGATGAACGGGTCCCGGCCCACGAATGGCAGAAGATTACTTCGTTCAAGTATCAAGGAGCCAAGCGATGCCCTTTCTTCAACTGCTCACTGGGTTGCCGCTTTGGTGATCACTGCCGCCAGAAGCACGGCTGTGTGGAATGTGGTAAAGATCACCCGTGGCACGGCAACCACTGAGCTCGGCCCAACTTTGAGGGGGCCTCACTGGAAGCGCCCCCCGGTCAATGGAGCTGTCCAGCCACAGTGTGTTATGATGGCTTGTCGGCATCTGCGCCGTCCGGTCGGAAAACGGCTGATTCTGAGCCGTTCACTGTGCCTGGTTGGTCCCAGTTGACCGAAGATTTCACCATTTTGCGCTCGCATGGCCCATTTTTCCTGGAAATTTTTGCTGGCCAAGCAGGCATCACAGAGGCTGTTCAGCTGATGGGTGTGCCTGCGCTGCCGCCAGTGGATGTGGTTGTCTCTGATCTGGTCAGCGAAGCAGCCGATGTGTTGGATCTGGCAGTGTGGGAGACTATCATGGCAATCATTGCTATCATTGCTGCCAGGCTGGTCTTCTTGCTCCATTGTGGCACCCCGTGCAACACCTTCACTGCAGCTCGCAAAGATGATGGAGGACCTCCTCCACTGCGCTCTCGCGATGCTCCTCTTGGTCTTCCAGGACTCAGTTGGCAAAACCAAGCTCTTGTTTTTATGGGTAATCTGTTTTTGATCCGAACGTGCGAAGCTTGTACTCTTGTTTTTAATCTTGGAGGGAATTTCACGATCGAAGACCCCCTGTTGAGCCTCATGTGGGCTACGACAATGATGGACCAGCTCGTCCACGACACACGAGCTCTGGCTGTTGATTTTGATCAATGTGCCTTTGGGGCTCCGTCCAAGAAGCCCACACGTTTGTTGTGCTCAGCTGAACATTTCGAGGTGCTCCAGGTACTTTGTCCAGGAGGGCACGTGCACGAGTCTTTGAGAGGCAAAGTGTTCGACCCCCTTCAGGGCAAACTGGTGTTCAAGACCAAGGCTGCGCAGGTCTATCCTTGGGCTTTGTGTGCGGCGTTCGCCAGCGTTGCTCACGATCTATGGCAAGACCCTCTTCATGCTCTACAACCTTCGCTGCAGCTGACCACGCCCCCTGCGGATCGCAAACGCGAAGTGGGCTCCTGCAAACCGTGGCTCGGACACAAGCAGGAGGAGTCGGCTCTCAAAGCGCTCTGGGCGGGTTATCAGCTGAAGCGGGGTGCGGCCAAGCCTTTGTTGCATGTGGAGATGGAACCTGGCCAAGCGATCGAGGCGGCCTTGAACGTGATCCACCCTTTCACCATCGAGGCTCCTCTGGCAGCGATGGAAGAAGCAGCCGTCCTCCAACTTCGGCGCCCGTCTGAGGTGATCATGGCTGAGCGGGCGCGGTTGCTACAATTTTGGCATGCTCAGGCAGTGGCTTTATTGCCCCACTCAGTGGCGGCGATCCGGGCGCTGCCCGATCCCCATCTGCGGCGTCTGCTCCTTGGCACTGACGACCTTTCCGTGCCGCGCCTTGGTCAAGTTTGCCACGTCGCATTGTACGAGGCTATGCTCATGGCGTGCGGCTCGGTGGATCAGTCATTGCCCTCTTTTCTCTTGCACGGTTTTCCGATTGTTGGTGAGATCGCTCGCTCTGGTCGATGGCCTCCCTACAATAAGCCCCAGAAAGACATCCCGGTGCAAGACGCATTGGATAGGGCCTGGGTTCTTCGGAAGAAGATCATCCAACGTGTTCAATCAGTACAGATCTCTGACAACCTTCAGAAGATTTGGGATGCATCGATCGAAGATGTTGAGGAGAAATCGTGCTTGGGCCCCTTTGTGTCTGAAGAGGAGGTCACGAAAGCTCTTGGGTGCGACGATTGGGTCCCAACTCAGAGATTCGAAGTTGTTCAGAAGAATAAAGTTCGTGGTTGTGACAGCGCCACGACAAACATGATCAATCAGATCACCCGGATCTCGGAGAAGCTACAACTGCCTTCTACAGACACGAATGTCGCAGCTCTGCGCAAGTTGAGAACGATCAAGCCTGGCGTGAAGCTGGCAGGGTGGGTGCTCGACGAGCGCAAAGCCTATCGGCAAGTAGCGGTGCGACCTGATCACCGGAAGTTCTCTGTTATTTGCTTGAAGAATCCGAAGACTGGTGCTCCCAATTTCTTCATCATGATAGGTCACTCATTTGGCTTGGTCTCGGCTGTATACAACTACAATCGCCGATCGGCGGCCATTAACGAGTTCTTGGTCTCGCTGTTCGGCTTAGTGGCTTTCAGCTTCTATGACGACAAATATGGTTTTGAACCTCTGGCGATCGCGGGAAGTGCTCGTGCAGTAGCTGAACATGTTCATTTCTGGTTAGGTGCGAAGTTTGATCAGAAGAAATTGCAGCTATCTACAGAGCCCACGATCCTAGGGGTGACTTACAACCTTGATCAGATGCAGTTGGAGATCAAAGCTGAGCGGAGAGAAGAGATCACCCAGGAGATTGAAGCGATCGTGAAGGCAGGCATTCTAGACCCTGGCTCGGCGGGGAAGTTGAAAGGTAAGCTCATGTTTGGCGCTTCTCAGCTCTGGGGAAAAGTTGGACGAGCTTTTCTGAGGGTCATTTCTGAGCGCCAATACCTTCGTTTCCTGATCGGTAGTGAGTTCAAACTAGATCAACCTCTGCTCGAGTCTTCGCTCCACTGGAAGAAATTGGTCAATGAGGGACCGCCGAGGCCGATCGAATCAGCTTCGGCTAAACTAGTGGATGCAGTGATTTTCACAGATGGTTTCACGCCCGATCCTAGGAAGAAGGAACGTTTGCCTGATCGTGTAGGAGCTGTTCTTTTTGATAGGCGTTTGGAACGGCCTATGCAATTCACGTCAGCTGTCTCCAAAGCCGTTAAGAGGCGGTGGCTTGAGCGCTCGACTCAGATTGTTCCTGTTGAGATGGTCGCAGCTGTTCTAGCCCTGGAGACTTTTGCTGATAGGATCCGTGGTTCAGATATCTTATTGCTCATAGATTCCGAGGCTGTTGAAGGTGCCTTGATCAAAGGCTACTCGAGCCGAGAGGATCTCTGTCAATTAATATCTGTATTTTGGGATCTTGCATTTCAGCTCCGAGTGAGAGTTTTTATCGATCGGATCTCAACTGATGCCAACCCAGCCGATTGGCCATCAAGAAATAAACTTTCCATAGGCGAGGCCGCAGGCTGGATCACAGTGAACCCCTGCTGGCCGAAGGCTCTGTTTGAGACTTAGGAGAGGGCCTGGGTCAGTGACTAAGCTCAACTTCATTTGCTCTCACCACATGCTTTGACCTGCCTGTGAAAGGCTCTGTGTTTAAGCGTTGTTTGGTTTGAGTCTATTTTTGAGCCTGGTCATTTGGCTTATGCATCTTACTGATCTGATGATCTGATCAGTGTCTCTGACAGTGACCTGCTCGCCCCATGCCCTGAGCAGCGTCCGCAAAAAGGATCTTTTTGCACATGCAGCTGTTCAGGCGCGTCGGTTTCTTGGATTGGGTTCTGATCAGTTAGAAAGTAAGAGGGATTCTCTCTTACGTTCATGAACAAGTGAGTCGGTTGCATATCAACGGTTAGGTAGGTTTGGGATAAGCAGCTGACTCTCATGATGCATGTTCTAACTCGATCGTTTCCCTTGTGCTCTATATATATTATAATATCTCTCTCGAGTTTATTATATATATATGGAGTCTCCTTTTATTTTATACCAAGTGCAGTGTCCTGATGTGATCACTAAGGACTCGATGCGGTCGTTTGCCATTTTGGCACAAAGAACGAGTGATCACAGTCAGGCCACAGCTCTTTTTGATCACCCAACCCAGCCCGCCCTCGTGAATGAGGGTGGGCTGGACTTCCAGACCACACATTTTTCGGTGGGGTCAGTGACTAAGCTCAACTTCATTTGCTCTCACCACATGCTTTGACCTGCCTGTGAAAGGCTCTGTGTTTAAGCGTTGTTTGGTTTGAGTCTATTTTTGAGCCTGGTCATTTGGCTTATGCATCTTACTGATCTGATGATCTGATCAGTGTCTCTGACAGTGACCTGCTCGCCCCATGCCCTGAGCAGCGTCCGCAAAAAGGATCTTTTTGCACATGCAGCTGTTCAGGCGCGTCGGTTTCTTGGATTGGGTTCTGATCAGTTAGAAAGTAAGAGGGATTCTCTCTTACGTTCATGAACAAGTGAGTCTTCTGACATATTCATACATATTCTGCCTAATCACATCAAATTACATCATTTACATCTAGATAAACTATGATGATTGGTGGTGATCTGTAATGAGCCATTGCGGGACATGATTATTTACTATTCCATGCATTTCCATGCTATTCTGCTGGTTTTCTAGATATTGCTGAGCCATGCTGAGCCATGCTGAGCCAATGCCGAGGTACGTCATGTGCTTCGGCGTGGCGAAGGAGGTGGCCATGACGGAGCCACTGCAGATCTCGTTGATTGCGCAACAAGACCAAGACGCTTCGCTCATCTTTTGAGGAATGACAAAGCGACAAAGCCTGGATTTGACTTACGGAAGATATGGAAGAGATGGAATATATGAAAGATCTTGATTCACTAGGCCAGATTATCATTAAGTGACAAGTCACCAAGAGTATCCAAGAGTCAGCTTTTCAGGTCATCACTTGATATCATTTTCCCTTGTTTTTGTGCTGCAAATTCTCATGGATCTATGGTTGAAGACTGTCCCGAGGTCCACCGAGAACGAACGCTGGCAGTGGGAAGGATCAACTTGGAAGAAGTCATGAACGAACCCGACAAAAACAAAGAGTGGATTGATGAGCCGTTGATCCTCGGCAAGATATGACGCGAATGATTTTTAGCTTCTACCTTAGGTCCAACAGAACTGTTCAAAACCAAGTTGGTTTAATCTGAATTTCTTCACAGGAGTTACTGACCTAGGTTTTGACTTCGAGGCAATTTGCGGTTGTCAGTTTTCCTTCGTTTTCCTTGAGGATATTGGAAAGGCCGCCACCAGAAGATGGGAACGTTCTGCCAGACTTTTTCACCTCTCGTGGTGAGGCACCACAAGAGGCAAGGGCCGAAGCAGGGCAGCACCAACCGGCTTCATATGTTGTCTGCCGTTAAGGCAGCACCAGTGCGAGCAGAGGTGACGGTTTCCGTTCGCAACTCAGTTGGACCGTCGGACCATGCTGGATCACCTTGGGCACAAGATGTGCCATGTGCCAAGCCCATCCAAGCTGAGACCGTCGGATTGTCAAGGTGATGGGCCTGCAGCCAGTTGCCACAAAGGCAGCTCTGACTCATATGAGGACGGGCAGACCGTTTGGTGCACTGCATCACTTGGTAGACGTCAAATAAATTCGAAGGAAGTATTCAAGTATATTCAAGTATATTCAGTATATTCAAGTAATTATATAATGCACTTCTTCCATTCAAAGTCATCTTACCCTTGTGCTGAACAATGCAGGAAGCGATGTCAGCAACCTCCCGAAGAGCCATGGATTGGTCAGTCTTGGGAGTGGTCCAAAATGAGACAGCTATAGTAGCTTCCACACGAAACATGACTTCAGGCAACTACTATGAACATCTATGAGCTGTATAATTTTTATACAATCATCAGGTCCACCAGTTTATGTCACGACATCTTGGTGTCTTTCCGATTTGGAGCTGAGGATTTTCGAGTCACAAGACGCAACAGCTCGTTGAGTAAGTGGGAACAACCTTTCGTGTGCTTCGGCGGAACAGTTTGAACAGATTCGCACACCCATGTTTGTTGGTTGCATCCCAGACAAATTGCTGAAGTCCTAATTGGCAACATCCCCACTCTTGAGTGAAGTAGTGAATCGGTATACATATTGGCATATTGTATAGTACCTATAGTATCCTATAGTAAGATGAATAAATAAATCAATAGATGATATTGTCCGTATATTATATATATACACATTATATATACACACATTATATATATATACACATTATATGTATATATATATATATATGTTCTGCTGATTTCACTGGTTCATCCCATTGGGGTTTCCATTTCTGCATGTGGTTCATGATGACAACGATGACACCGATTCAGCACCGGTTCAGGGGCCGAGATCAGACAAAGTGCACAGGATCTGTTGAATCTCTCGAGCCTCGGACTGCGACGGTTTGGCATTTTGTGTTCGAGAAGCATTTGAAAACGACTCAGCATCTTGTTAAAGTCTTGGCACATCCAAAACGCACATCCAAAACGCACATGTCAGGATTGGTTCAACGCTTTTTTTGGACGACTTTGGCCAAAGATTGCAAAGTACGTGCAAAAACTCATGGAGGACTTTCAGATCTTTGGAACGGTGCAAGATATTAGTTTCATCATGTTTCATCACAATAGGTCTCAAAATATCTCAAAATATCATTCCTGCCAGGATCAAGAGGGGAATGTGACTCAAAAAATGCAAGCGGCAGTTCCAAAGCTTCTGAAAGGCGCTGAAGCTGTGGAGTCAAAGAGTCAGAAGCAGTGCCACTGGAAACTACTTGCAGTATCTTGTAGTCTGTTGGGGTGGTTCCCTTTGCTTTCAATCTGAGTGCTGCACGTCTCATTTACTTTTAGGCTTTGGAACCAGTGATGTCGCAGCTCAACAAACTGCAGCATTTGTGATGTGTCGCGGCCTGTGCAGGCATGTACTTCAACAAGTTCAAGCTGGGGACGAAGACGCCGGTCTTTGGTCCCATCAAAATTGGAGAAGCGCCAGAGCGATGGGGCAAAGAGCCTGGAAAGGATGCCAATCAGGGGCCCTTTGGCATCTGGGAAACCATGTTGGCTGTAACAAACCCAAAATATTAGAAAATAACATATCAATATTATCAATCAACTAAAACCTCAAAGCGCAAAGCAAAATTCCCCAAACATGAAGATTCCAAGTTGTGAATGTTGTGACACATGTCAGATTGCTTCTTGTGGCAGCCCAACAGATTACATACAAAACGATGACGGCCAAGACCGATCAATCGGTTTGTGGCTCACGGAGGTCAGAAATCAGACTGGGCGTGAAACTGGATTCAGAGTCACAGATCGAGCTGACTGTGATGGCTGTGAAGGTGTCGGGCTGAGTTCCTGTTGCCTGGTTCATCTTGATCCAAGAAGTATTCCTGTGCACCTGGCTGACGTGTCATGGATTTGACTCGAGGGTCTTTATATGATCTCTTTATAATATTTATAATCCCTGTATGTTTGTTACATTCTGTTACATTCTGTTACATTCTGTTACATTCTGTTACATTCTGTTACATTCTGTTACATTCTGTTACATTCTGTTACATTCTGTTACTGTGATTGTGCTTGATCCGGATCGGATCGGATTTGTGCCAGGTGGGCATCCATCGATTGCAGGTCAGAGGCGAAATCGCCATCCGCTTTGAACCTTTGTTGGGGCAGACGCCTGTGCTCAGAGCTTAGCATCACCGCTCTGAATTGAGAATATTGAGAACATGTGAATATATTGAGGAAATGCATTTGAGCCATATTGAGCCATATTTTGACTTGTTTTGAAGCGATTTCTGATCTCATCATATCTCATTCTGCGGCCTGCGGAGCTCTAAGGATTGGAGGTTTGGTGATGTGCTTCCTGAATCCCCCGAAACTGGCCATGGATGAAGCCTCAGATGGTGCAAGCATGCCTCATGGCCTCATGGCCCATGCCACAAGGCTTGGTTCATCTTGGTTCTCTGGTTGTTAGCCAAGGAGTACAAACACTTTGCCCAACTGGTTGGCAACACAACGTTGGAGCCAATGGTCAGGGGTGCCATTGATCGTGCCATTGCAAAGGCCTGGTCTTTCATCTGCAGTGCAGTGACCCATTGAATGATTGACGCAACGTGTTCGTTTTCAGGCCTTGGTTATGCCGAATGTGATCTCGGTGCCAATTGGAAGCGAGGAGTACCCTGTTTGAACATGTTGAGATTCGCATCCGCCATCCGCCCAAAAACTTCACAACATTCACAACGAATGACAGTCACATGTAGTCACCATATGTAGTCACATGTAGTCACCATGTCAGATGGGATTCGAAGAAATTCCAATGTTCATCGGATTCGCGTGTGACTTCTCAGGAAAGGCGTTGACCGCAGCCTCTTGCGACATCCGCGTCCTTTGGGAATTGTCCGCGTGAGGGCAAAGTCTGCGACTGGTCTTCCAGGCAATGGTGAATATGTGGACATATGTGGACCAATAGCATACACGTGTATATATATATATATATTATACGTACGTATATATGACTTGCGTGTGTGTTTGTGAGACGGCCACTATTGAAAACCTGAATCAGACGAGAAAATGTGTGCCAGAGTTGAACTGCGCTAGATGGACATCTCCACTTGTTCAGCAAGCAGAACATTGATGCGTATGTGAGAGTCGCTTGGTGCTCTTAATTGTTGCAGTCATCGTTGTAAAGCCCAAAGCAATTCGTAAGAGTACTCCAACCAAACAAAGACTCAGTCCCGGCTTCACAGCAAATAGTTTCAAACAGACCATGCAGATGCAAATGCAGTATTTAGCTCTTTACCATTCTTTACCATATCCACTTTGATTTGGTACGTGCATCGCTCCTTTACAACGACCAAGGTCCGAGTAGCAGATGATGAATGGCATTCTTCGATGGCGGAGGGAAGTTCTCCCGTCTGGACCGCCGCGGATCATCACTGCTTCTGGTACTACGACATCAGGCAGACACTTGGATGAGGCACCGAAAGTGGTCCGGTGGCAAGATGTTGAAACGATGTTGAAAGGCATTGTGATATTATACCTGTGATACATTTCATGCACATATATATATAGTATACATATTATTACACATAATTATATATATACACTGTGATCATGGCACTGAGGACCATCCACATCGAGGTGATGGACAAGGGTCGGTTCAATCCTCAACACACGATAGGCCAAGCCAAGCCGTTGTTGGCACCTTGGCTGAGCGAATGGGGTGACCGGCGTGACCGGGTGAGCCAAGTGCAGCACTGGAGAGTTTCCTGTTACAAGGTGTTTTCCCATGCCAAGGTAAAGGATGCAGTAGAAAACAGCGGAGCCGCCATTGAACTCTTTGCTCCAGTCCAGGGTTTGGAACTTACTTGATCTTGGGAATGAGCGAGTTTTGGAGAGATTCAAAGCAAGCTTCTCAAAACCGTTTCAGCTTCGATTGCGGCACGGCTTGCTTCACTCCCGCCATGACAGTACTTCTCATTATAGTCAATCTAAACATACAGGAGGCCAACACGCATTCAGACAGGGCGAATACAACGAAGAGTCAGCAACATTCAGCAACATTCAGCAACATTCAGCAACTAAGTTCTCAGAGTTCGGATTGCATGAATAAAGCAAACAGCACAAGACAGTTTCTAAGGCTAAACTAGTTTGATGAGCGCATAGGCTCCACTAGTCGAAAGCAGCGATCGATTTGGGATTCCAACTTCAAAGCCACGGCCAGGTCTAGATGAGATTGGTGACGAATCGTGCGGATCTGTTGATTGTGAGTTTGAACTGTTGCTCGTTTGGCAATGTTTGCATATCAATTGGCCACAATTGGTCACATTGATAATCATTGCTATCGTGTTTGATAAGATGTTTGGCACATGTGCCGGGCCTTACATCGCCCAACTCAGGCTGCAACCACGGCCGGGCCTTCGTCCTCAATGCGAGCTTTGCATGCTGCGTGTCAAAATCGATAAGATCTACGTGGCAGAGGTTCTCCGGCGATCAAACCAGCTGTGGATGTGGCATTGATATGAAGCGCCGCCGCCTGTAATTGTTTTCACATGTCATTGAGCCATGGTGATACATCTTTATATATATATGTGAATGTATATATATATGTGAATATATATATATATACATATATGTGAATGTGTATATATATATATTATATATATATGTGAATATATATATATATAAATATGAATATATATATATATACTAGTATTTATCACAATACATATATATATATATACGCGCAACGCCTGGGTTTTGCCCAGGCGTTGCAGCATAGAGGTTTCCCATTCACAAACAAATGATGTTGCAAATTACCGTAATTCCTATGGAAAAAATAACACAGGTACTAGAGACTATTAAACAAACAATGTCAAAACACCCGAAATTCCTATGGGAAAAAAAAAACGGCAAAACACCTGCAATTACTATGGGAAAAACAACAAAGGTACTAGGGACTAAAAAAAATATGTCAAAACACCCAAAATTCCTATGGGAAAAACAAAAACGGTATTAGGGAATATTAAACTCCCACCCCCGCTAAACTTTATATGCAATTGGGAAGATCAACAAGGATATTAGCAAATATTAAACTCCCACCCCCGTTAAGCTTTACATGCAATTGGGAAGATCAACAAAGATATTCGGGAAATTGAACTCCCGCACCTGTTAAACTTTACATGCAATTGGGAAGATCAACAAAAAAATTAGGGAATATTAAACTCCCACCTCCGTTAAACTTTTCCATTCAATTGGGAAGATCAACAAGGATATTAGGAAATATTAAACTCCCACCCCCTTGAACTTTAGATGCAATTGGGAAGCTCAACAAAGATATTAGGGAAATTTAGGGAATATTAAACTCCCGCCCCCGTTAGACTTTACATGCAATTGGGAAGATCAACAAAGATATTAGGGAATATTAAACGTTAAACTTTACATGCAATTGGGAAGATCAACAAGGATATTTGGAAATATTAAACTCCCACCCCCGTTAAACTTTACATGCAATTGGGAAGATCAACAAAGATATTAGGGAATATTAAACTCCCACCCCCGTTAAACTTTACATTCAATTGGGAAGATGAAGATGAAGATGAAGATGATGATGATGATGATGATGATGATTCGTCGCCCGTCGTCATTGCGGGTCCGGGCAAAACCCAGGCATTTGCCGTATATATACATATTTATATATATATAGACAACAATATATATATCATATATATATCATATATATATATATATCATATATATATATATATATTATATATATATATTATATTATGTATCAGTATTGTGAAAGATTTGGAACTTGTATAGTCTCCTGTTGCATCCTGCAACGTAACAGTCTTCGGATCCTTGAGCCACCTTCAGGAGTTCCCCGAACCCATTGCGCTACGTGCTCGATTCAGCGATGCTGAGAAGATGACGTCGTTTGTAACGAGCCGTGGCATGAAGTTGTTTGAAGAAACTGTTCCAGCAAACAGCAAAACCGGTGGCCGCTCACAATCTGTGGTATAGACTTTCAACAGAAACGACATGAAAAGGCAGTGCCGCAGTGCCATGTCTTTGAGAGTGGATGCTGCAGTCCTGCAGTGTGGCTCGGTTTGTCCCGATCTGCCAGACATGAGGAGAGCAGTGAGGACAGACAAGGACGCCAAGGATGCCAAGGACGACAGGAAAGCGTCGAAAGCGTCACGCCAAGACAGCAGAGATCCAAGCAAGCCTCCGTGAGGTGCCCAGAAATGCACAGAAACTCATTCCTGGGGACTCAATATCTCTTGATATCTCTTGATATCTCTTGATATCTCTTGATATCTCTTGATATCTCTTGACACATGTTGAAAAGAATGTTTAAAAGAATGTTGAAAAGAGAGCTTTGGATGCTTTGGTCGACTGTCAACCCTTTGGCTTTTCTGAAGGGCTGGTTTATGAGGTTGAGACGCATCGGCACACTCCTGCCAGAGGCCGCTGCTGGCTGCTAATGTTGATTGATGTTGATTGCAGCTGAGTGAAAATGTAGGATAGCTAGCCGCGGGCCATAACTAGTCATTGAAAGCGCCAACACCAGGAAGGTTTCGAGAAGCAACCAGTGACTTTGGGAGTGGATTCTGTGCAGCTTGGATAAACGTGGATCAAATGGGATGGTGCGACAGATCCATTTTGCCGTTCACAGATGTTCAAAGACCTGAGTTTGAGGCTGCATTTGCTGTTGAGACAAGAAGATTTGAAAACTCATAACCTGGAGCTCGAGCTGGTGGACAAAAAACGGAAGGTCCCGAGCGCTTGCTTTTGGCGGGCTGCTTTGATACCTTTGATCTTGAGCTTGAATTTGAATCTATTGGATAGGTGAACCAAGACATGTAGTCTAGAGCCAAAGCTCCCAGTGGGCTTGAACAAGTCATTCCAACATATTCCAACCGTTTTCACTTCCGTATATATTCAGGGTATATGTGGTTCATTATTTTATTATATGTTATTATATTTTATTAGTCTCTCACTCTCGGGCAGCCAGGTCTTTGCCTCGAAAGATATTGAACTGAAACAGCTGCCCGGTCGCAGCTGTACACTGTATACATGAGTGTTGGCCAGATTCACCCCAAGATTCATGAAGATCGGCAAGTTTGAAATTTTGCTTGTTTTGTATGCTTTGTTTTGCCCCATCATTGAAGACGTTCCGTTGCGAGTTTTGCGATGGTTGCTGTAGCTGTCGGATGCTTTATGAAGTACCTCTGCCGAGGCTGATTGACAGAAAGGTGTTCCGAAGAATGTGGGGAAGCGAAAAGCAACCACCGCTGAACTTAAGAGGACTCGAAGAAACCCGATAAATTTCGATAGGATTCGATAAGTCATATGAAGATGTTCTTAAAGGGAAAACGTGGATCAGATGAGCTATACCAGAGAGTCCCTTTTGTTGCTCCAAGGAAAGTGCTACTCGTGTGTAAGCATTGTAAGCAAGATAGTTTTCGTTTGACAGTTCAAACCTTGGTCGGGCTAGCTGGATGGCCACACCAATCCACTACACGGCTCCGTTCAAATTCTCCTTGAGGAGAGGGCGGCAAGTGTCAAGCGGAACTCGAAGTACAGATTTCAGGTGACGGAAAAAGCTAATCTCGAGAAATCCGATCTCGTATGTCAAAAGGTGCAGAGTTTATGTTGCCTGCCAAACCATCATGATGCTCTGGACAGGGATAGAATATGTCTAGGTCTCTTAGAGAGGGTCCACAGAGGTGAGTGCCCCTTGGGATCCTTGGGTACTTAGACTCCGTTGTCTTTGAAGGTCTCGATGTGCAACAAGTTCGTGCAAAGAGGCTGCTTTGCAGGGAGTTTGGTGGGCAACATTGGGCAACGTTGGGACATGGGGCGACATTGGGCAACAATGGATACTTGCAGTTGTCAACATGAGCTAAGGATAGCTGAGGAACTAATATCGATATTCTCGGGTACCTACAGCTCCTCAGTATTTATATTGTCACTCCCAGTTTCAAGACAAGAGCATGTGCACTGAGTGCACTGCAACATGCCCTAAACCCATGCAACTCTGCTTGCCAGGGCACCACCACGCTTCAATCCGGACTTTATCGTCTCTCAGCCCAGGCAGGAATTTCCATCCGGTCAAACAACGTTGATAAGTTGAGTTTTTTCAGTTGTGTTGACTGTGCTTAGGATCCAATGGTGCAGCACGGTGCAGCTTACGGATGATCCAGATTGATGCAGAGATATTTGTTCTGAACACTATGCCACTATGTCGAAATGTGAGAACCAAACCAATCAACAAACCCCGCAACTGCGAGGTGTTTGTGCAGCCGCTGCAAGCTGAAAAGAGAATCCTGGTTCCTGCTGGCCTTCGCAGCAAACGCTTTGGTGGAATCTCGGTTGTGGCAGTGCAGATATTTTTTGATGTAACCATGGCATCAAAAAAGTGGTGATGTGTGTTGTGAGATGTTGTGAGTTTGATGTCATGTTGCTTCCCAGAATTCATTCTCAGGAAGGGGTTGCATGTTGCTCGGTTTGCAAGTTAAGCTCCCAAGCCGGCCCTGTTCGTTGCAAATTCAAAATTGCAAATTCACCATGAAGGACTCTACCAAATTGTTCATGACTGTCTGAACATGTGGCTTTTGCAAACGTGTCAGGTAGCATGGGACTTACTGTTCAGGCCTTCCCTGTAAATACATTGCAACATGTTGCAACCTGTTGCAACCTGTTGCAACGTGTTGCAGATGCAAGGCGCCAGTGAAGTTCTTGTGCCGTTGTCTAAGGCCTGATTGCCGCCCTGTCCGGATTCATTTTGGTCTTTGCCATCAACGTCTTCGGGCCAAGGCAGAAAGCACTTAAAATCAGCCGTTTTGTTGTGTGTTTCTACGTTGTTGTTTCTTTGTTTATCCTTTTTTTCCGCATTTATCGCCAACGCTTGTAGTGTTTGGATGTGAGGCACCGGCAAAAAGTCCTGTCGGACGAAGCAGATGAGGATGAAGTGGTCCCCACCAACATCCCTGCCACACTGTATGAAGGTGGTGAGACGACTCGAAGTTCCAAGGAACGTGCATCGCCCATTCTGGTGCGGGAACGTCCTGTTTCCATGGCCGAACCACGATCACCGACCTTCGACTTGACTCCCACAACGAGAACATGGACCAAGGATCGAGATCGCGGTAGGGCAAACACAGCCAAGTAAATACCATTTCGAACAGGATCAGCCAGCGAGGCAAGATTCGCACTTTTCGTAGAGTTTGCAGAGTGTTTGTGAAGTTATCGGCGCATTCTCAGTGTTGAAATCTTCGCATGTCCACATCAAAGTGGCAACAAAGTGACATCAACATACATCAAGAAGCAACCAGCACCGATCTTTTTCAGTCAAATTTTGACACTGATGCATTAGCTGCTTTACAGAGGGCAACCGGGGTAACTGCCAAACGGCATCTGCCCAGATGTGAGGATTCCTGACCTCCAATCCAGACATCAATCTGTTTTGAGATCCTCAGATCATTCAGAGTGACCTGGGTTTGCAGGGTCGCAGCTTCCGACACTTTTAAAAGTGAGATAAAGTGAGCTTGTTAGTGATCAGCCAACTCTTTCGGGTTTGGTTCCGGATGGTTCCGGTAAAAAAGGCCGCTTTCGTTGCGTTCCCTGGTGGCCTTCATAACATTCTGGGAATTCGATGCAGAGCTTCGGTCAGAATTTCATGGCAACATGGCATTGGCTGTTGAACATTGTTGAACATTGTTGAACTGGCCCCCCAGAGACTTTTGCACCTGCTGACCTGCTATGCAAAAAACTGGCTGTACTGGTACAAGACAGGCACCTGACAAGTACAACTAGCACAGAGGTACGCAAAGTGCTCGCGCTTCAGAAAGTTGTTTGGAAATTGAGAGCTCTGTATTCTGAGGTAGGATCTCAGATATTGTTAGTACATGTTAGTACTGGTATTAAATGCAAATTAGCCTTCAGAACGCAGCAGACTCCATTGGGAAGCATTTTCTTGAGTCAATGTAGCAAAATTGCCCTTGAAGCCATGGCAAGCCCTTCCCACAAAGAGCTTCCACCAGAGATCGCCTCGGAATCTCCAAAGTCTGGTGCCAAAGTCGCACCTGCAATGAGTCGCCAAAGCCCCCAGAGTCCCCAGAGTCCAAAAGCCTCGGGAGCCTCGGGAGCCTTGGGCCACAAAGGGCGTCGCCCGTCCATCACGTTGCCGATGAATCCCGACGGATGTGACATGGGAGCCTCACCACGTTCACCGGCCTCACCGGCCTCACGGACCTCCCGAACCTCCCGGGTGACGTCGGCATCACAGGCTTCACCCAAAAGCGCCAGAAGTGTCAGATACGAACGTCGGAACTCCAACGCATCTGCCATGGCGGATGTGCCTGAGATGGAAGCTTCCCCGAAAGGTTCGAACCTTGGTCACAGATCACACATGGTCACAGCACCAAGCAGCAGTTTTCTATGCAGATGTAAAACATTGGTGGAGTGTAATAAACTATAAATGATTATAAATGTTTATGTATATAATATAATTATTGTGTACGACGGTACGAATGAATATTTTATGATAGTTTTATTTTATGACATTTTACTGTACATTAGCAGCTCACACAGCCTCCTTCCTCTTAAATATGTTGATGTTCCTTTTACATCCCTTTGCAACTTGTTCGTTTTTCCGCTCAAAGTAAGCTGTCGTTGACTTAGACCTATCTGCTTTGGCAAGGAAATTTACTCGGACGAGCGTGTTTTTATTTGTCTTTTACTTCGTGCTCAGTGCAAACGACGGCATTGTGAAGTCCAAGTCAAAGAGTGTGAAAATTGAAGGACAGCCAGATGCCTTTCCTTACTCTTTGTCTTCAGTGATGCTTATGTCCTGTTGTGTATCGCTGTGCACTGGCATTGCCATCGCAGTGTATCACGACGGGATGGAAGAAGGTCTTCGGAAATGTTTGGACATTGATTCCATCAAACGTGTGGCACCGATCAATGGACTTTTCCAGGTGGCTTTTGTGATGAAATTCGAGGCTCTCAGGCGACTGGACCCTGACATCGTTTCGATGCTGTCGCAAGCCAACTTGGTTTTATTGGCCCTTGCCGCCAGATTCATCATGGGAAGACGTTATAAACGCCGGCAATGGACCTATTTGGTCATGACAACTCTCTCGATGTGGTTGTACCTCATCAATCGAGATGGCAAACACATGCTGGGACAGGGACCACAGTTTCAGCCAATTCAGCACATAACAGGCTATTTTATTGTGATAACAATGTGCATCATTGAGACAGTCGCGACTGTTTTAGCAGAAGCGTTCCTCAAGTATTGGCAAGCCCCAGCAAAGAAGCCAGGCTCCAGGACCAGTAAGCCCAAAGGCGACCAAGGCAGCAGTGGCAGCGATGCGGCAGCAGCATGTGGGCAGAGTCCTGCCAAAGCTATGCATTCCGAGCAGAGCCCACAAGTATTGCCATTCTGGGTGCAGAAAGTTCATGTGGAAGCCTCTGGCCTCTTTTTCATGGTCATGTGGATTTTCGTGCTGCCATATTTCTTGCGCGGACCAGAATGGGAGTGGATTGTTTTGCATTCTAGACAGATTCATGACAGTGGCAACGTTCTCGCTGGTTGGGACAGGTGGACCGTTGCTGTCCTGATCATGGTGATTGTCAAAGCATGGCTTGCAGGACTTGTTTCGAAGCTTCTCGATTCTGTGATGAAGCAGATTGGCTCGTGTTTGTCAATTCTGCTGACCTATCTGGAAGTAGTCATTTGGCTTGACCCTGCTGGATCTCGGCCAACTCTCTCCACACTTGTTGCCTTGGCCATGGTTTTGGTCTCAATCATCGCATTTGCATGTGAAGAAAGAAAGAGGTCCAGACCGAGGCGAAAAGGTAATCAGGACTGGCCTGGAGATTATAAAAGTCTTTCCGCAGATCCTGACACTTCGCGCAAGAAAGGGCTGGAGAGGCTGGACTCTCGGCTGGACTCTCGGCTGGACTCTCGGCTGGACTCTCCAGGATGCGACATGCGCCCATTCCGCTCGATGCGACCCCTGGACGGGCCCCACTCGGAGACTGAGTCGACTGAGCCTCATGCTGAATCCCTACAACGGTCTCGGCGCTATCGAAGCGTACACAAAACATCTTCTGAGGATCAGCGGCACGGAGCCGACGGTGTTTAGGGATCAAAACGGTCCTTGACTCTCCATGAAGCCGCAGGATCCAAAGATGCAGACAGCTTAGCCATGCTTTTTTCATCTTCCGACATTTTTTTGATCAGACTCAAAGGGGATGCTGCAGTGGCTCCTAATTTCATATGCGCCAATGACTGCTGCCACTATATGCGACTATATGCCACTATAGTTTTTTCGAGTATTGGACAAGAAGTTGATTTGCATAGGCATAGGATGGCATAGGTATGTTGTTTGGGAAGAGCCATAGCAGTTTTGTTTCCATGCGCATCCAAACTTGAGATGCAGGAACTTGAGACAACATTCGAACAGAGCGAATCCATGCCCATGGCCATGG